AAGGCATTTTAACAAAGTTCCTCATAACCGGCTGTCATGTAAGTTGACTAACAACGAGATTGCAGGCAACGTATTAACGTGGCTATATGAAGTTCTAGTTCGGCGTCAACAAAGTGTACAGATGAACTCAATGTTGTCTAGGTGGGAAACTGTCCTCAGTGAAGTGCCTCAGAGTACGGCTTTGAGACATTCAGTTACCAGAGTAACCACGACTTAATTTCCAGTCCACCAACATCACAACAGTTCATTTTAAAACGAAAGATAATAAACTGTCTCGCTTTATCAGAGTCGAAGAGTCCAGAGGTTTTTCCAAGTAGAAATATTAAGTGATAGGTCAACAACACGTCACCTCCAAGTCTTATTTAGCGACAACACGGTGGGCGAAGCAGTCCTAAAACAAGAATGGATGCAAGCTCTCCCATTCTACACCCAACACTGTTTGGATACTCATGAACCGCACACCTCTTTAACCTAAAGATCTCAAAAGTATTTGGGGTTTGACAACGTCTTTACACGTAACGCCTTCATTACCAGAACATACCAAATCAGTCAAATCAGAAGTCAGAAATGAAGAGGTTAGAAAATTTATTTAGAAAGCCATCGAAATGTCGAGAAGTGTTTGTTCTGAGCTGGCTGGTAATAAAAAGGGACCCGTAGCACGGCGTACCCACTCGTGACCTGATGCAGATGCTCGACCGAGCAACTTCAGATGAATTCTTCCAGGAAAAAATAGTGAGGTCAGTATCGTTTCGCTAGTCGTTGTCGACATGATGGGGAGAAGTTCTAGCCATTCTGAAAACGTATCAACCACTTGCTGACACTGGGTGCATTTGCCTACCACACCCACGATGTGCTGGTCTATACGAGGCCAATACGCGTGACTTCTAGCTATGGATCTCATTTGTTTCACACCAGGATGACCAATATGGAACTGTCCCAGCACCCTTGACTGTAGAAATCCTGATACCACCACTCTGTCTCCAGACATCAAGCATTCATTTACTACATGTAATGAATCCCGACGATGGTAAAGTTGCTTCATGTCACCATCGAGTCCAGCGAACGGACAATTGTTGGTGACGTAGTTCATCGTTTTCTTAGTGATTGAGTCGTTCCTGGAAACAGCTTGTGTCTCAGATGATGAGATTGTCAAAGTACAAATATCAGGTATCAGGTAAAAGTGCGCGTGGTCTTCTGTCGAAAGGGTGGTGATAACCATATCTTCCTCAGCCGTAGGATGTTCACTGACAGGTCATGACAAGGCGTCTGCTCAAACAAAATGTTGGGCGCGCCGACACTGAATTTCGAATTCATAACCCAAAAGTATGCAGAATGGGCTAGACTTAACGTGCGAGATGCACACATAATAGCTTTTTCTGTCGCATCCGGGAAATGATGTGAGATGGTAGCACCGAGTCCAAAAGCTGAAGCGTCTTCACTCACGATGATTGACATGGATGTATTGTAGTACATCAGTGATAATTCTGATAAACGTCGACGCGAAAACCTGAAGCAAAATTTTTTTATTCTCTCTGTAACCTTGGGTCGATTAAAAAAACATTGAGAGAACGTCATAGTAAATCATGTCTTCAAAACAGGTTACATACATCCTTACCCGTCTTGGTGGAACAAAGGTAGCCCACAACATTCCTCGTCGAACTTTGTCATCGGCAAGCCTTTCCATTTGCCATCCATCCTTTTCATGTCTGCTTTCAATTCCCAACTCGGTTTATTTATTTGGCCTCCCTCTTATCAGTTTCTCTTCAAATTCCAATTTAACGCTCGCCTCGTGATTCAGATTAATGATTTCTCCAATGTGTGTTCTATCTATTTCCAACCGCTTTTCGCGATTTCGTCATCACCTGGAGGCTGGTTAGTTCTCTCCCACTGTATGTTGTTGCTGACTTTATCCAGCTAACGGACATTAAAAATCTTGTGTAAACAATCTTTTATAAATACTTGAACTTTTCTGGTGATGGTTGTAGTAATTCTACGAATTTCAGAACTGTTTTGACGTGCGTATTGAAGATTCTGACTTCGATATTGGCTTGCAGGAAGTTGTTTCGAGTTCCATATGTTCGTCAACTGTAAGAATGCGACAATCCGTCACTCCACGTTCATCGATGACGCTGCTCAGGAATGTGAAAGATCCCACCTATTTCAGAGTTTCTCCATCAAGTGTGACTGAGATGATATTCTCTGTATTGCAATTGAGGATCTTGCTTCTTCCTTTGATTATATTGAGGCGCATTTATGCAGAGGATTCCGATGCATTGGTTGTCTTCATCTGCAATTTTTGGTGTCTGTGGGATAGAAGAGCTAGATCATCTGCGAAGTCCAAACTGTCTAGTTGCATGCAAGTTGTCCATTGTATTTCGTGCTTGCTCCAAAATGTCGAGGTCTTCATAATCCAGTTGACCACCAGAAGAAAGAGAAAGGGGAATAGTAGGCAACCTTGTTAAATTCCGGTTATCACTCGGAATGCGTCTGTCAGCTGTCCTCTATGTACCACTTCCCATTGTAGTCTGTCTTGTGAATTTCGGATGACGTTGACGATTTTCTCAGCTACTCACATCATAGTGCTGAAGAAAGTTCCTTAAAGTTCTCCTATCTAAGCTGCCAAACGTCGATATACGATATATGGCAACGAGTTCCATTCAATTGATTATTCAACTATCCATAATGTGATTTGGTCTGTGCGCGACCGGTCCTTATGGAATTAATTCTGTTGATCACGAAGTTGAGCGTCTGCCGAATCGTTCATCCAATTCAGCAATACTCTTTTGAAAACTTCCCCTGGTAGTGATATTAGTGTGATGTCTCTGTCGTTCGCACATTTGCTGAGACCTCCTTTCTTCTGCATATTGATGAGATTCTCATCTCTCCAGTCTGTCAGTGGCACTTGTTCTTCCTCTTAAACCTTCCTGAATAGAACGTGGAGCATGTTTGCAGCTGCTTCTATGTGTGAATTCAGTGCTTCAGCCGGCATATCGTCAGGTCCTGCTGCTTTCTAACTCTTCGTTTGTCTGGAGACCATCCTGGTTTCTCCGATCGTCGGTGGAATGACATCTGTATGAATGTCTGTGAGTGCTGCTTCGATGTCCGGTGGATTCAGTTGAACCGGCCTATCTAAGTGTTCCTCAAAGTGTTTTACCCATATGTTCCGCTGTTCTTGAATCTCAGTGATTGTCTCGCCTCGTTTGTCCCTGACTGGTCTCTCTGCTTTACTATATTATCCTGCTAGTTTCTTCGTTGTGTCATATAGTTGTTTTATATTTCCTTCTCTTGAAGCTTTTTCCATTGTCGTTGTGGTGGACCAGACGATGTATAAATGTAAAAAGTATCAACAAAGTTATTAAAGATCAATAGTAATATTAATATATACCAGATAATTGTTACAAATACAATAAAAATTGGGACTTTACTTAAGTTCACCTAATTGATGTGTGTTCGGCTTTATTCTGGTACTGAAAATCCACAATTATAAATGCTTGGTCATTCCAATCAGGTTAACGAACTCTCCAGTAGTGTAATCCAATGTAAAGTATGGTATATTCCCACTCACAGTCTATAAATGTAGGTAATATTTGATTTAGATTTCAGTTAACTCAATCACGAACGAAAATAGAATGAGGGATATGTGTGCAGCAATGTATTTGTTAGCAAGCAACAGTATGTCACGCGATTTAGTTACACAACGGAAAGTGTGTTCAAGGTCATTCACTTAAACAACACGTACAGTCATTTATTGACAAATGTACATACAGTGAAAAATTGACAAAATAAATACAAATAACACTAAAAAATATTTACAAAATAGGCTTGTCAGGTCTATCTCCACATCGTTGCTAGCTTTTTCACGCTTTTCTGCTTGTCATCTGTGATGTCCCTCCTCACATGCTTGTTTGCTTCCGTGTGTTCAAATGAATCCGAGTATGGAACTCCTTAGCAGTGTACATCCACGAGACCATGGAAATGTCCTGGGTTCGAGTCTAGCATGCGGAAATGTGGATACGAATTACTGAGGATTCCCATACGCTGACGAAACGACAGTCCAGTGCTTTCACGTTTTCAATGGTAGCTTAGCTAAGATCAGTTCAGTATTTCAACTGTGAGAATACAACAGTCTCCACAAATCCTCCGCACTCATTTTGAATAAAGCAAGAACAAGAAGAGCAGCACAGTAAGACAAAATTTTTATTCTAGTATGGCATCACTCTGGAGTGCCCATCAACGGTCCTACTGTAGTAAACGAGAACAACAGTGGGGACAACTAAATGTAATCAAACACAAAATTACAGAATCTCTTAGTAAAATCTGAGAACCATCAATCAATTGTCTCAGATTTGATTGTTCCTTCGTTTCCACGCCAACTATTCTCTGTTTTCGTTTTCTTTTCTTAAATCTTAACCTTCTGCCACCAGGCATTTCACTTTCGATTGATGATACATACTACTTATATCTGTTGACATCAGTAGCACACACCACACTACCACATATGTAGTGTATAACTAATAAGACTGATCTTAACAGAGGTTATTGTCACGACAAATATGAACATTATTATTTTCTCAAATGTATATGTGACATAAATACTTTATTATGTCAATCTTTTGTATAGTCCGAAAGTTTCTAAGTGAGTCTATGCTAAGTATATACTCACTGAATATAGTTAAATCACACGCATCAATCCTTTTTGGTGTACACATGTGTTTGTGTGTCTGTGCATGTATACACAGTTGGAAGTGATCACACTTACACGCACATAGATAATCACATGTGTATACTTTACTTTCAGTTACCCACTTACAAGTAATAAACAGACAACTATCGAGAAACAAATCACTGTGACCAACCATATTTCAATGAAAGATTCAAAATAAATTTATAAATTGAATATTCTGTTAAAATGCATCCTAATCAAGGAATAAATCATTATACGCTTCAATAATTATTCATTTAATTACTAGGATATATATCATTCAAGTTAATCTAAAATCATGGTACTTAAGTTCGGTCCAGATAATCCTCCAATTGTTATTGACAACGGAACAGGATTGTTGAAAGTTGGCTATTCTGGTGAAATGGAACCACGAGCAGTCGTTCCTATGATTCTCGGTCGACCCAAACATATGAAAGTCATTGCTGACAGAAATTCTGATGAATGCTTCGTCGGTGATATAGCCGGTGGTAAAAGAGGTGCATTAACTTTATCTTATCCAATGATGAATGGTATTGTACAAAATTGGGATGATCTAGAAACTATCTGGCAACATGTCTTTACCAATGAACTACGTGTTCTTCCTGAGAATCATCCTATGCTTTTGACTGAAACACCATTGAATCCTAAAGTAAATCGTGAGAAAATGGCGGAAATTATGTTTGAACAATTTCACGCACCAGCAGTTTATATCTCAATTCAAGCTATTCTCTCACTTTATGCTTCAGGTCGTACAACTGGTTTAGTATTGGACTGTGGAGAAGGCGCTACACACTTGGTTCCTGTATTTGATGCGTATGTTATTCCGACGGCTATTCACCGAAGAAATTTAGCAGGACGTGAAGTAACCAACTATCTTAAACATTTACTCACTGAAAGAGGTTACAAACTGATTACAACATGTGAACATGAAATCGCTCGTGATGTAAAAGAAAATCTTTGTTATGTTGCTATGGATTACGGAAAAGAACTACAGTTTAGCCAAGGAGATAAAAAGTTGTACGAAATGACGTATCGTCTACCTGATGGTCAGCTGTTAAATATTGGTAGTGAAAGGTTCCGTGCACCTGAATTGATGTTCGATCCCAAGTTAGCTGGTTACGAAATGAATGGCATTCACACTGCCACAAATGAAACTATACTGGCTTGTGGAATGGATGTCAGAAAGAGTTTTTGGTCAAATATTATTCTTACTGGTGGAGGTACAATGTTTCGTGGTTTCCCTGAACGACTACGTAAAGAATTGCATCGTCTAGCCCCAAAAGGTGCTACAGTAAAGGTGATGGCATCTCCTGAACGAAAATACTCAGTATGGATTGGTGGTGCTGTTTTAGCCTCTTTAAGTACTTTCAATGAAATGTGGGTAACGAGAGAAGAATATAACGAATTTGGTTTAGAAATTGTACATCAGAAATGCGTTTAATTACATGGAAACACCGTAATATGTGTTTAATTTGAGAATTAGTGAAAAAAACAGTACATAAAGGTAGTTTCTTTCAGTCATTGTTTGTACAATTGTATGATGCTACACTTGTGCATAATAGTTGATTTAAATGAAATGTTTCGAATTTCTACATTTCTATCAACAGTTAATATATAAAAATTCCACAACCCAGGGAAACATAATTTTACTTCATAAATGCTTATTACTCACAAGTAGTTTAGGTTTGTTTACATACCAATGTAATTTCATGTATTTTGCAATATATTTTCCTATATGATGTTTGAGACTTTGCTCATAAAATGCTTAATTTAAGTTTTCACTGAAAGTGTTATCCATGGGAAAAATTAGGGTTAGATGATTTCTTTTGTTATTTTCAGTAAAGGAATGGACTAAACATGAATTAATTAGTCGCATTATCTAGAATCAACTAAAGCGATCTAGCGTCGTTTCTAACACTTGTCTTAGGCTTATTAACTGACTTGGAAATCCATACTTATAGCATTTAAAACTTCGTACTTATATCCTAGTTAACAAAATGCTTTTAGGTAAACAGTAGTTTCTGATCCAAACAGACCAGTTAAACTAACTTCATCAAGGAATCGATGTATGAATTTACCATTTCCGAATCAAACAACACAAGATGTATAAATGCCCAATAAATATGAGGGACTCAAAAAAGAAACACACGTAACACTGATATATATGAGACAAAATATCTTGGAAAGCGGATTCAGAACGAGACCCAACCATCATAATTTCCGTCTATATGAATTCTTTATTCCGTTAACAATAGCCTGGATACCAAATAAGGTGATTTCTGTATCGCTCACCAGTGAAATAATTTGACTTGATGGTCCTCTTGCTGAATTATTCATGGATACAGGCTACAGGCTAAAGTTCTAGAATACTAGACTTTAGCAAGGTAGCTAAGCGCCATTCGTTTAAAAAAATGTTATTGTCTATATACTGTTATGCATACCAAGACATAACAGGACAAAAACAAATTACATTAAATATTCATACCCAAAACACTAAATTGGTGATTTTAACGGATTCACGAACAATCTCCATTGAAATTCCTTTTGTTTACGTAAACTGGTCACGGAATCGTGATCAACTTCACATTACATGATTCTTAACAATGTTTCATTTCCACATAAATTAAATTCCTAGTAAGTGACATAAAGTTGAGTTGACAATGCGATACAATGCTATCACTGTTTCAGTCTGTATTTATGTTTTGTAGTATTCAAGTGGCAGGATTTTGTAAATATCTGGAAAAGTAATGCGACCTTTATGCGTCTCAATATCATTACCAAGAAAAGTTAAAAAAGCAATCCATGAGAAATTAAAATTTTGAATTTAATACAATAATTTAATTTCTATATGGTAACTACAATGACGTTAGGATATGGGTTTAAGTTGGAAAAAAACGTCAAACTTTATTTCATGAGGGTACTGAAACACATATTTACCTTCTTGTCAATAATGAGATAAAGAAAAAAAGCAGTAAAATATTTTAGTACTCGGTTTACTACCCTAATGTCTCTATACTCGATACATTTTAGGGAGATTTTTATTTTCAATAATGATTTTATTACATTGTTACATTCCCTAAATACGACACAGACAGATTGTAGAAAGTTCGTCCAAAAATAACACTCGAATACATAAAAATATATATGTAAATGTAATTTGTTCGTTATAACTAAAGATATATTAAAGTGAATCGTATGGAATGCACAATCAACTCCATTTAAATAGTCTGGTGGCGTGATGATTTATCACAAAAACCGAATTGTCGACGCTTAATGTCCAATGAAGGTCTTACTAAAGATATAATTATTGACCAATGAAGGGAGTCGTTTGTATAACAAAATTAAATCGTTATATGTGAAGTATTTTAGACGAAATAAACAAAATTAAAATTCTTGTAGAACATAAGTGGGTGTAGAATTCGGATTCCGTATCACAAGCCTATGTAAAAATATTAACCACTATGTTGAGTGTTTTGTGTTGAACTTAAAACTAAGCTCAATCTAAGAAAGACATTCCAAGATTCAACATCCAACTCTTAAGTTAATTATCTCTCAATGTAATAAGTGTAACTGCGGTACCATTAAATCTGTATTAAGTAGATAATTTTAGTGGTTAGATATAAAATGGTTTAGTATCAAGTTGTGTATCATTTTATTTCATTATTAAGCCAGGAAAAATCTTCATTTAAATGAGCTAGAGCAAATAATATATCTAATAATTTACTAGAGATTATATGAATATGAAACAAGTACTTATGATCTCCTAACATTTTTTGTTTTGTTGTTTCGCTTCCGTATTGAATAAAGGTGAAGTAATACATTTTTTGGAGTATGCAGTATTCTCTCTAGAAACAAAATTTCCTTTTATCTGTAATTAGTTATATTTCAATATTCTCAAAGTCAAAAAAATACCTTAGAATTCTCTTGAATGTACTACTTATTATTTACAACACAAATATGAGTAGTAAGCACCAAATTAATGTCTGAATATAAAAATGTCCATTAAGTTAACTGAATGGTTAATAAAAAAACGATTGAAAAATTTACTTATTTTTTAGAAGAAATGAATTCAGTTAATTGTCCCAGTAGGACTTTCTGATTATTTAACTAACTAGATTAAAATCTTATTTGATGCATACGGATTCAGTTTTTGACAATGATTCCTAAGAATATGGATTTATAATCATTAGTTAATGAACTAAATAACAGCTATGATCACACTAAGTAAAAATCAATAAAAAATTAGAAATATATCAATTAACTTCCTGTAATCGTTACTGTGTTAAACAAACTATTCAAGTGTATTTCTCTTAAATTAAAATGAAATAAAAAGTTCATTAGCAAGATTATATCACTTTTATCCAAAACGTATTCAAACAGTTATTTTAATAGTTGAATTCATGAGTTAATTCAAGCTAGACCACTATGGAAAACCTGGAAGCACTGGACGGCTGTTTCATCCTAGTGTGGGTTTTCTCAGCAGTGAACATCCACGAACCCGTCCACGGGATTTGGACCCAGAACCTGACGGCCTCGCGCACAAACACCGAACCTCTAGACCACTAAGCCGGCATCTGGCGGTGTTAATGTCTAACTTCAACTAATTCACGAAATTGCACCACCATCCACCATTGTCTTTGTGTATGCTATAATATTCACAAAATTCCCTTTCTGATAATTATTTTAACGTTTAATTTCAATTTCTTCAAGTACTCATCATGCTTAAGACTTTTTTTTCTAAGCACACTTCTTGTTTGAGCGAATTCATCAAAACAAAATTATGTTTACGCAAATATTAACTTATTATTGCCGATAAACCTACTTTTTTTCAACACTCTTATTGTCTCAGATAGAATCTCATGATGAATATATCGCAAACATTTTCAATGTTTTACTTCAATTTACTATGCACTACTCTGTTTGTAAATAAGACTTCCGATGCCTGAACAGAGAGGTTTCATGATAATCAACACACTGTCCAGACTCTGTATTTCTAGTCCCATATAACCTTATTTGGAAGTCTACGTCTGAATATTCGTTTAATGAAATGCTACTTATTAAAATGAGACTTTTTTAACTAAGATGAGTCCTTAGGTTTTTTTTATTAGAAAATGAGTAATCTTTACATGGTGTGTATGTGTGCATGAATCAATAGTTACTTGAATAAACCCAAGAAAGTTTCTATCCTGTCATACTGAATAGTTTAATAGACATTATTTGACCGCCATTCAAACCAATAAAATCATTGGGAAATACAGGACAAATATTTTCACGATATAAATTTCTGAAAATATACGAAATAATATTTGCTCCATTAATTCCTTTAGAAAATGAGAAAACTAAAATTTAAAACAGTATGTCATTATGCAGTACACTGCTCACCAAACATTACTGTATATTTTGAATTCAATTATTTTATTAGTGTGGTATTGCTAAATGATTGTAATATGATTGCGACACAAGCAATTGCTAAAAGACTCAAAGGTATATACGAATTTACCACTAAACTAGTAGAATTACTGAAAACCAAGTTTTCATGTATATGGTACTTGTTTCTTTAAATAAACCTCCCAATTTATTCACATATCCCGTAATAACCACAAAACAAATACTCGTTGATTTCCTATTACTATTAAATATCATATCAGATTAGAATTACATTAGTTGATCAAAAAACACACTAATTGTGCACAAATTTAAATCAATCATTTAATCAATAAATCAGTTACATCAGTCAGACAAGGTTAAACTATACTTTAAAGGCTGATAAAAAACATTGAAGATGGAATGTTACTGAGTGAGAAAAACACAAGTATCATTGTATTATCACATTCTTTACTACCTTTTTTTAAAAAAATTTGTTTAAATACTTTAAAAACATAATAAGCTGAATATTGTTCATCAGATTAATGTTTCTATGTGACAAATATTATATGTGAACAAATGTAATCTACTCAATTTCTATCTTTAATGACAAGAAAACAATATTTATTACATAGTAAAAAGGAATTTAGCTATTTAGGCTGATCAATATATGTTTTATGTGATAATTCAATGTTTGAAAGTTTTCATAACTGAAAATCAATTGAATAATATAAACACAGATGAGTAAAAGTTATTCATTAGTTCATTATTATTCCTAAATATGTTTCTCCCCCCTCCGACTTCATTTTCCCTGATTGAATGGCTAAGATCTCTATGACAACTGAGATTCAATTCTTTGATTGTCATGTTAATTATACAAATAAAGCAAAATAAAATGTCATAGTCAACATTAAATATTCCATAGCATCATACTTCTGTAAAGATAGATATAATCCTCAACAAATTATTTATGGAAACTCTCTAAACGTACACTTCTAGAATTATTAAAATTTATGTCTCGGTCTAGAATCATTATCGTGCATGTTGTAGACTAAAACAACACCACAGATGGAATAA